TTAAATTACCTTACATCGCCACGTTTTGAAACCAACAACATGCGGGTATGTGAGATAGTTATGAGTTTAAGCTTGGATAACACATACACTATCACACATGAATACATTCGCAAACATTACCAGTATGGGAGAATCCATCTTCTTTCTTGTAAGCTAACCAGCTAGCAAGCTACTAGCTACTACTGCTGCGGCTACGTATTACGTTCAGTAAATGAGGCTCTTTCTGATTGGCTGACGCACAGCCTGAGTTGTGCACACAGGGCAAAGAGCATTACAGTACAGGGCGTGGAGCCAGAAAATAAAACAAGCTACATCTTAATGTTGACGAAAGTATATTAATACAACATCGATTATCCCTTGAGTGGGAAACGTTGCAATCTGATTAAGTCCTTAATTAAGGTAAAGTCAAACATTGTAAAATCTCCATGAACCTTACTTTTGTCCAACCGTGAGTCTTTCATCATGAAAGTAAAACATAAAAGTTATCTGGTCTTTAATTCAGATTGTGATATGGCTACGATAGGTGGAAGAAGTACTCAGATATTGCACCTAAGTAACAATCCTGTATACAAAATCTTACTTAGGCCTAAGTAAAAGTAGGCTACTTAAGTATTTGCATCAAAATATACTTATTGTGTGTAATGTCCCATCATATTAAATGACTGGATTGTTATCATTCATGAATCAATGTGTTCATCACAGCTGGTAAAGGTGGGGCTAATTTAATTAATTAATATAATGCTGCTGGATATCCTAACCTATAATTATATATTATAGTTTATGTATTAGTTTATTTATATTTTGTATTTAAGAAATTGAATCTGTAAAGTTACTATACTAATTGTGTTAAATACATGTAGTAGAGTAAAATGTACAATATTTGATTTTTACAATGTAGCGGACTATAAGTATGAAGTAGTATACAATACTTAAGTAAAGTACAAGTACCTCCAAATTGTACTTAAGTACAGTACTTGAGTAAATGTACTTTAATAATACATTACACCACTAGGTGCAATGTCCTGCCAACTAGGCACACAATAAATATTTTGTTTATTTTAAAATTCACTTCCTACATTCTATTCCTAATTCATTTAAGGCTATATATTCAACTACTTTTACTTGTAACTGTAGTTAATTGTAGTTCCGTTACATTTTAAGGGTAACTATAGCTGTAAGATTACATTTCTCAAGTAACTTTTCAAAAACATAAGAGACTATATTTGGCTATATAGAGTTCAAATCTCTACCATGGTTATTGTTATCAAACCAAATGATCAGGGTGTTATGTACCATTAAAAACTTGGAAACTGAAAAATAGGACTCTATGGTAACATACAAAAAAATGTGGGAAAAACTAATTTAGGTTACAAGCCGTTTTAGCTTGCTTGTACTCATCAACATATTTTTTCAGGATCCTCCTACATGTAACCAACCCCAATTATCTTAGTTCCCACTTCTGGGAAGCATGGAAACCCAGACTGATGGGGATTTCCCTGTTTTTCACTCCATAAATGACATCACTGTTGGGCCTTACTGTAAAATATTTTCTCGAGGCTTGAGTTTGAAATAATACTGGAATATCTATGAATATCTATGGTGTACAGCTATTATATTACTGCCAAAAAGTGTATCGCAAAAAATAGCTATTCTGACATGCATATAACACTACTGCGGGCCACCATGAAATGTTGCAATACTGCACCATGTTTACTCAATTCCACCACTAACATTTCAAAATGACCAGGTCCGGAGATTAAAGATCATGCTGCCTTGAACCTATATGAGTTAAAATATTCCCAGATGTTAGAAGTCAAACATACCTTTATATCTATTTAAAATAATTCTAAACAATGTTTATGATGGCAGAGTTGAAGATGGGCAGAATGAAAGTTATTTGATTGCTTCAAAGATGAATGAACATGCAATGAGAGAATGATATATGTAATTCGGCTGGCTTCAAAATGTAACCACACTATTGATATCTTTTACTGGTATAAAATATATGCAACTACAATACGTTGAGGGACTTTTCTCACAATTATGAAAATTATAAATACATTTGAAATGTAGCAATAGATAAAATGAAGTTATAGGGCTGCTCTCAGTACCAGCAACCACAGCAGTTAGCAGTTCCCTTCCTTAGAACCAAGTGCTTCTTTTATCAGCATTAAGCAGAGCTTCCGCCAACCAACATCCTCCTTTCCTTACCTTCCCTCTGTCTGTAGAATACTTGATGTTTAATCTTATGAACACATTTCCTAAATATGCAATTAAATATAAACACTCATGCACACAAACACATCTCTTCAAGAAAAACAAAGCACTTATTTCTGTTTAATTAAACTGTTTAACTATTTTTATTTGTAATTGTGTTTTCCATCACTAGTTATATGTGAAAAGATTGAAAACTCTTGAGAAATAAGGTACTGTTGTTACAAACGTTATCTTAATCTGAACATATTGAGATAAGGGCAGACTGTATTGAGACATTCAGAAGAATGATGCTGCATATTTAGGTTCCTCATTTGCCCTTTTTCAGGTAGTGATAATATGTGGCCATCTTTACAGCGATGAAAAGGTTTATAAATCCCATTTATATTTGAATCTACAGTTGCAATTATGCATTTGCTTAATTGAAAACGATCAAAAATGTACAAATTACATTATGCATCTTTAAAATCATTCACAATAGGACAGGCAAATATTTGAAACTAGATATTAGCTGAACAGTCCACCTATATGCTGTAAGCTGATCAAATTGCAAACCCTTTAGAGTTGAGTACCACAATGAACAATTGCACAGGTTACCATTTGTATTTCTCTAATTTGCAGTGTTGTTTGTATTAAGGTTGAATATTAACAATAGAAAATGAGTAGAATATCTTATTTTTTACAATTCCAATCAAGATACTGACTTGTTAGTTTATTGATGTAAGAAGAAAAAAATACTCCAACTGCCCTTTCTATTTTTTTTTTAACTTTCCCAGAAGCTGACTCCAAAAATATTCCCGTTTTGATACCACAACCCAAGGCACACATTCATTGTGTTTAGTAGCGAGGTGGTTTTCGCTCATGTCTGATACAGCCTCCTGGATGTTAAAACAAAACCAAAGAGGCCACACTCCTCCATCTTTGATTAACAAATGAACTGCCACAGAAACACCAGGACTCACAGAGGAGGCAGGGAACAACTTAAAGGACGAACATAATTAACCATTACTTTGGCATAACATAGACTTAATAAAACTCAATGATTATAGACATAATTCAAAGGGGGTTTACAGCAAGAACAAGTCTGACAATGTGGAGAGGTTCAGGCAAGCTGGAAAGCAGAGATGTCAAAGACTAATTGAAGCAAACAAACACAAACAGGGAAAGTGGGCGTTGAACTGGGAACTGTGTCCAGATTCAAAACCATTGTGGTCGCAGTAATAACAGGGTGCTCTTGGCATGCTGTGGCAGTGGTTGAGTCAGGGGCTGGGTGCTAGGAACTTGGGTTGGGAAGTCCCTTCTTTGATTCCTGGTAGACATTCACCTTTCTTGACTATGTCAGCCACCTACTTTTTCCATCTTAGAACAATGACAAAGAAAACATTGAGATTTATGTCTGTGGGATGTGATGTTGTAATGGGCCGGACAAAACCTTCCATGTTCTCATGGTTTTGTAATATACAGTGCCTTACTGAAAGCCTTACTGTAACTCCGGTTTTGTTTATTGCAAGTCCTAAAATGTATAATTATTTCACAATAAAAAAGTCAGGCTTTGGTCAGTGTTCAGAATAAATGTACTGAAACATATTTTTCTTTTCATCTTATGTGTTGTTAGATCATTTAAAAAAAGTAAAAAAATGTATGCGAATCATCACTGTAAGTATCTCAAAAGGCCATCGTATAATATTTATATTTTTTTATCAGATTTGTATTTCTGATAAAAAAGCAATTATGTGTTGTTTGAAGCAAATCTGAATGTACTACTTGGCTTATTTTTGCTTCTTTAGTTTTGTAGAAAATGGAGTTCGGTTCCTTGTATGCAGCATTATGTTAAAGCAACAGAGACGCTGAATCAACATACATGTATTTCATGTCCATCAAGTGATTTAATCAACAATCGCTTTTAAAAAATGAAATCTATCCACTATGTTGTCACAATGTATACAGTAGGGGGTCTTTTACAGTGCATGAAATATCTTGAATATTTGATGTGATGCCGATAACTTCCAAAATTCTATCGACAAATTGTTTTTTGAAACAATAAAAAAGCAACATTTCGACTATCAGTTTGTGTGAAAGCTGTTGCACAATAGAGCAGTTCTCCATAACACATAGTCTTTGTGAGTTCTCTGCTCACAGTTTTTCAGATCAGGGCAATGAGGGGATTTTTCTGTGAGGGATTTTAATGGTCACTTGCTATGTAAGACACGCTCCCCTCCATTCTCCCCCTGCTCCTCTCTCTCCCTTGGCGGTTGCTCTGCCAGATAGGGGAACAATGTAGTCTTTCTTACCTGTCGGAGGGTGTACATTCCATCTCTGCTAAACTAAGTCTCAATCCTGCCTCAAACCCACCCCTGCTCGAACAAGGCCCTCAGTGCAATGCCGGCTCCAGGTGCTCCACATCACACTCCTCAACCTTTCGTTTTGGAGGATTTGAAAGGACACAGTTCTTGTACGGTTTGGCCACGACAGGGACAACAATCCTGCTAGTTTCACTCACTTTTAGGGCGTTTAACGTAATTGTTGTGTGTGTATTGTCATAATATAATTAGAATTAAAATTGCTTACAGCTTTTTGTTTGTTTTTGTAAACATCTACCTACCTCAGTGTGGACTGACAGAATGATTGTCGTGGTGTATGCCAGACTGTTGGTTTGTGGTTTGTCATGTGGGCTAAAGGGAAATTTGGAGGTTGGGGTGCAAGTGTGCTATTAAGGATACAAGAGTGCAAAAAATTGTGGTGTGGGTGCTTTACAGGAAGATTGCGTTTTGTCTGCATAGAGCCATCCCATTTATGCCGGTGGCTGTAAGTGCAGCTGAACAGAGAGAGACAGACAGTTGAATAAGAGATAGAGCAAGAGGCCTCGTGTGTTTTACGTCTTGTGATCTGTTAAAAGTCAGCAACATCACGACATATGTGAAAAAAGAACAGTTTCTCCTTCACTCATTTTTTTTCCCTTCTTAACACCAGGATTGTGCTTCACATCTGAAGTTATTTTTGACTCATCACCTGTTGAAGAAGCAGAGAATGTTGCTAAGGTATGTTCATACTCGTCTAACTTTTTCTTATTTTCTAAGATCTCTTATTTTTATTAGGCAAAGCTAGCTTAAATGTTACATTATTTCAAGTCAAAAGCAAAACTTTGTTTGCATATATTAAAGTAAAGTAGTAGTGGTAAAGTAGGTGTCGGATAATGTTTCATTACATATCATCATATAACAACGTGAGCTACTAAACAATGTAATTACATTGTTGCTCACGCTTCTGAGCATTTAAGTTGTAAAAGATACAGTTAATGTAATGACACAGTTAAATGTATTTCCACAAAATAGATTGTATCAATGGTATGTTTTGTCTCACTGTGTAATAAACGTACTTCTTATACTGACTGGACTGGTACAAGTTTGAGTTTTGACTGTGAATTATGAGAAAGAAACAGCTTTTAGAAACATAACACAAACACAATGCAGGATTTAAAATATAACAATGTTACAAAAGGTCTAAACATTAAAAGATATGCATAATATTGTAAATTATATCACATTGCCTTAAACACTAGTTCCTCTGAAATAATAAACAATATTGCAAATAGTTTGTGTTGAAGATTAGTAGAAGGAAATAAGATTCTACATTTTGAATTAAAAAAGAAATATATGAAATATATGAAAAATACCTGAATATGTAATGTAATGTACCACATGTTGTATACATGTCTGGATGTATATATTTGAGATATTATTACAATGTTATTGATCCAGACCATTGAAGTCTCTTCAAAATTGAATTGGACCAAGTCTGTAAATTGGCACACCTCAGAATGGAACCACCTGTTGTTTGATACACCACTCCAATTAACCTGACATTGATTGCTTTCTAAAAAAACGTTGTATCCCTTTTAAATGTCAGATAATTTTAACTATAAAGGTACCTTCAAACACATCCTCGGCTGTTTCAAAACCGAGAAGTAGTATTTGAATTTATGTCAGTTGAGCTTGAGCCCGGGACTTGATGAGCACATTTTGCATTTATTGATGGGAATACTTCTATTAGTTCAAATCTATTTAAAGAATCAGCATGTCATTTTGAATGACATAGGCAAGTTTCAACTGTAAACTCTGAGAATTAAATGTTTGTTCTAGACAACGAAAAAGATGTGCAAGAAGCTCATTTGGCCCATCCCTGAATGGGTTTTTTAGTTCAGGTTAAAATAAAAAAAAAACAGGCATATTCGGTTAAAACACTAAATAGATAAAACAAGAACTTATCTGTTGGTTTTTTTCATGTATGTGGGTGATGTACAAGTCATTGTAAGCCATTTATATGTGTGAGTATGAATATAAATGTACAGTGCGTAGGTGTTCATTGGACAAGTGGATCTATTCAATACAGTGTTACCATCTCTGTTGGTGTTTAAGATCGTTTATTTATGTGCTGAAAAACTTAAATACTTTGTTTATACTCAAATGGAAGTTGAAGTTTAAAATAACAGCTACTGTCAAGCTTTACCAAAAGAGTTTAAAGAAGTCTGCAGACATGTTGTCAGAGACCACAGTTTTCCAAAGCAGCCATCAGGCCCCAGTGTGTCTTGTAGAGAGCGCTGTTTTCCCGCAGATTGCCTTATCAGGAGTCGGCATAGCTGCAGCCAGGACAGCTGTTGGGAGGAGTCAACTTAACTAAACTGAACCTGTGTGTGCTCCGAAAAACCTACAAAACACCCAAACAGTCATTTATGTGAAGCACCGACAAAATCTACATATATGTTATTTACCGTATGTTTTAAAAAAAAGTGTGGTGGCGGTTTTAAACGATATGCAGAAGGGTTTTCTCTTTCTTTCTTCTAGTGTAACATAGGCTACTGGTATCATAAATTAAACTTGTTGTTCTGTCCTCACCAGGTTGATCTAGCAGCTAGAGTCTGTCCTGAATGTGTTCAACAGCCAACTATGTTCTCCCTCTGAGGAGAACCTGTGAGGTAGGTTTGTTTAAGAGGAACACCACACATAATAAATCCTAAAATAGACACGGTAATCAATATTATTTTCTATTACAAGGTATTAGCTACTCCAGGCAGGCTGTGTGGGGGAGTGTCTATGTCAGCTAATTTCCCTGGAGCCAGGTCTCATGGAGCTCCTCAGGACACAGAGATGGATGTGGCTTGGCAGGAACTGATGGCCATCACAGAAATGCAGGTAGAATTTTTATTTTTTACATTGTTTTTTTTTTTATCCCAGATGCTCCAAATATTTAACCTTATCACAATACCCCATGCTGAGTTAGAAAAGGGGTCCATGTGCAAATGAGGACACTTTGGATAATAATAATTATTGATTGTTTTCAAAATCCAAAAGTCTCAGCAGATAAGAAGGTATTTATCCATTAATATAATGTGTTATTCTTAGTTTCACGTTCAAAGAAAAGATTGAAACACAACAGTTGTGGCTCACTAATGAATAATTACTTAACAAAATATGTATTTAATTCTATTGGAATAAATACATATTTTCCACTTTTCATGCTAACTGTTGAAAAACGAATACTCTCAGCTGGGGAAAGCAACAATGGCCCATTTGAGTGATGGTAGGATGAAGAGATTGTGAGAGGGGGCAAGTGCTGTATGTTCTATAGTGGCCCCCTGCACCGTACAATAGCCATCTGTTTCCAGGTGAAATCGGATCACATCTACGAAGCCTTCATAGGCTATGGGTGGCATGCTGAAGTGGGGGCAAACTGTGCTCGATATTAAGCCAGATAAAATGCAAAAAATTGTGTTGCATTATTGATTTTTAATATTCCTTATAATTGCCTTTGATCATTTTATGCTATTACTGTGTCATATGCTAATTAATTTTTAATTGCCAAGTCATAACCAATAATGCTGATTATTTATTTTTTCCAGGAGTTTCAAGCCCCCAGTGAAGGCTCCTATGAAACAACACAGTACCAAACTATGGAGCCCATGGTCCCTATGGGAGGATATGGGATGGCCCAGTCCCATTCCGAGCCGCCTCCTGCTGCTTGTGAGCTCGGCCCTGCTGACACTTATGATGGATGTTATTCTGAAGAGGTGCCCTCCTGTCATCGTCTCAGAAGCCATTCAGAGGCAATGTATGGACCTGAACCTCTGCACAATCAAAGAATGATCCCCATCTCTTCCTACACACAGACCTCGCACATGGCTCCTAGAGAACCAATGAACATGTCAGGTAGCAGTCAAGGGCACAGGAGGGCAAACACTTCTCTCTCTCGGGATCTCCGTCGGCACATGTTTTGGACTACACATGGACAAAGTTTGCACGCCCGTTCAGCTGATGATCTTGAGTCGGACTCAGGTCTGTCTCTGGGCTCTAGTCCACCTTTGGCTTCCCCAGATAATCCCGTTGGGGGTGCATCAGGTTACCAGAGTGTTGACATAGGGATGACATATAGTGATGTTGAAGCAGACAGTGTGGCTGAACATGCCAGAAGAGCACACATCCATTACCCAATGGACTACCAGAACCAATCTCATTCATATTTACAATCAGGTGATCAGTCTTATTTCTCAACCCAACCCACTCTCTCTCTTACACAAGGTAATGCTCCAATTCCACAGCCAGTAAAACAGCAGGGAGAGGCCTCTTCACTGAATAATCTGTACATAGACTCTGGAGTGTCCAGCAGAGGGAGCTCCCAACATAACATGTACAGAAAACCACAGGGAAGTATCTCCACTCCTGCACCACTGAGCAGAGATGAGCGGCGGGCTATGTCCTTAAAGATCCCCTTCCCCATGGCGAAGATCATCAATCTACCTGTGGATGACTTCAATGAGCTCCTAACACATTATACCCTCACAGAAAGTCAACTAGCACTAGTCAGAGATATTAGACGAAGGGGGAAGAACAAGGTAGCTGCTCAGAACTGCAGGAAAAGGAAGCTTCAGAGCATAATTCACCTTGAAAGAGAACTGAACCAGCTGCATGGTCAGAGAGAGCGACTGGCACAGGAGAGGCACGAGTTCCAGCGGAGCTTGGCTTTTATTAAATGTCGCCTTACAGACCTTTATTCAGAGGTGTTTTCTCACTTGAGAGACGAAAATGGACAACCATACTCAGTAGATGACTACACCCTACAACAGACACCTGATGGAAAAATGTATCTGGTACCTCACACCAACATGCAGCAAAGAGAGCAATGCTAAGGCACTGGGGATTGATTATTCTATTAATACCCTTACAGTATACTGCCCTATTGTGCAGATTTAAAAGTATACAAACTGACTGGAGGTCACAAAAAAGATTATACAAAACATGCCATATATGCATCACTGTACACTTCATGCTCTTACATATGACTAAAACAACACAGGTGTCTTATAAAAATACTTTATTTAAAAACACTGCACAGCAGTCTTCAGTGTAAAAAAAACAAGTCTCCAGCATGATTATTCAGGAAGCCTGTGAAGAACAAATCAAAGATAAATATGCAAGCATTAAAAATAGTAATGTGCAAGATTCTGATGAATGACTGATTTGTACCTGAATTGAGCCATTGTCACAGAAATGGAATCTGGTTTTGGACACCATGTTGAGTTTCCTATAAAGCAGAAATATCAATTAAGTATAACAATCTGTCAACCAAAGAAAAAAAATTATTAATTTTGTTCACAGCATGCATATTTGTACGGCCTCTTTGCACAATTAGAAGGCCACGTTATTGGTGAAGTCATAATAAAGTTTTTTTTGCACAAATATATTGTCATTACTGGGCTACGTAACTTACTACCGGCTACACAATAGCAATACATACTATCAGTAGTTGAGAAGTCTGGTCTTACCTACAGACAGCACTTATGCCTTTTGGTAGCTGCTGCATGCTAGCCTCAGGCTTCTGTTCTCACTCTCCCCTGCTTCAATGATCCTGGCGATGGTTTTGCTACTTCTCTCCCTCAGCTGGCTTCCATGACTAGCCTCAAAGACTTTGCATGTAAGCTAGCATCCTCCAGTTGATCTTTGCAGAACTCAGGGTAGTCTGTACCAGGTGATGGGCTCTTTATGATGAAGTATTGTGTGCACCACCTCTCATTCCTCAACCACAATTGTAGATGTTCCCTTCACATTGACTTATGGTGTATGTAGTTACTATTGCAGGTCTTCTCACATCACATGGATATTTCTTGGCTCCTCACATATGCAAATGATGTCCCTCATCCCACAGTGTACAGTAATAGTCAACCCTCCCTTTCCCAGACCACTGAAGAGGCTAACAACACGTTGTAAAAAAACTGAAAGATGCTTTATTTCAGCTTGATTTGATGCAGATACAAATAAAACCAGACTCAAAGAAAAAGAAATCTACATAAAATCTCATTGGAATGCTTGCTTTCCAGATACACATTTCGATTAAAAAATAAAAACACAAAATGTTTAAGTGAAGACCCTCCATGATTTATCTACTGTACATCTCTTCTTGCAGCAGCAGTAACCTGCCACAACTGTTTGGCTGAGCAGATTTAGGACGTAAACCTGCAGCTGCCCTGTCACTTCTCTTGCTCTCCTCTCCTTGCTCTCCTCTCCTAAGTACTCAGTCCTGTTGAACAATACGGAACAACATTGTTAACTGTGCACTGACTTTGTAGAACCTGAGATCCAGAGTGATTTTTTATTTATTTATTTTTTTACTGTTTATCCAAACTTAACAAGTCCCTGCCACTACAAACTCTGGTTTTATGTTACAAAATGAATAGTGCATGCATGTTGTCAAGTACCTACCACTTCACATTCAGAATCGTGCCGAACGACCATATCCACCACCGTTGTTTGAGCCACCTCCATAGCCACCTGCAGAGAAAAAGGATAACTTAGCCTACAGAACCTACAAAACCTACAGAAACTATGACTAACAATTATACATCCTCCCATCCGCTTTTCTTTATCTTACCACCAAAGCTCCTTCCTCCTCCTCCTCCTCCTCCAACACTGCCGCCGCCACCGCCACCACCAAAGTTGTTTTTCATTGGGCCAAAGTTGGAGGCCTGGGGGTCGTAGTTGCCCATATTGTTGTAATTATTACCGCCACCTCCTCCACCTCCGCTACTACCACCACCACCACCACCACAGTTACCTATAGGGAAAACAAATATTCAGTTACACACATGTTGAAGACAGAACAGATGTCAAATGTAATACAGTCTAGTTAACACTTACCATAGCCATTGCTCTCATAACCATTTCCTCCATAGCCACCGCCTCCGCCACCACCTCCTCCACCGCCGCCGCCGCCACCACCACCTTGGTTGTAACCTCCTTGGTTATACCCTCGGTTTCCACCATTGTTGTATCCGCCTGGCCCACCTCCATATCCTAAAAAAAAAAAATTATTTCAGCACAGCCAAGCTTTAAATCCATAAATTGCTTAAGAATATGCTGAGTCAACTGCCACTTACCACCCCCACTGCCGCCGCCACCACCATCGTTGGCACCACCACCACCACCACCATTGGAATTGTAAGGACCATCACCATAGCGACCCCTACCACCTAGGGTAACAGTCAGGTTTAAAAACATAATACACTAATATTTTTGAGTCAATTTACATGAATCCCATTATGGCGTATCATCATTTTAAAAGTCTTACTCGGGCTGAAGCCTCTGTCATAGTCATAGGGCCTTCCACCTCCGCCTCCTCCACTGCTGCTACGACCTAAACCAAACCACAACATTAGCTCAGTACATCAACAGTACCAGCATTTAAACAAGATAGTTGATTAATCTGGCTTAAATTCATTGTAAAAAAAAGTACTCATACCCATTCCTGCTGTCTGCATCTCTTGCCTCGTGAGAGCCTTCCTCACTTCACAGTTGTGAGAGTTGATAGTGTGGTATTTTTGGACTGTAGGGTTGAAGGGAAAATAAGTAGCTGCTCAAAACCATTCGGTAAGAGACTATAAATATGTGGCAGAAAACCTTGAACTTACTAACAATCCTGTCGACTGAATCATGATCATCAAACGTCACAAAGGCAAAGCCCCTCTTCTTTCCAGAGTTACGGTCGGTCATGATATCAATGACCTCGATTTTGCCAAACTGAGAAAAGTAATCTCTCAGGTGGGACTCCTCTGTGTCTTCTTTGATGCCACCAACAAATATCTTTTTTACGGTCACATGGGCTCCTGGTCGGTTTGAGTCCTGTGGTGACAGAAATGTGCAATTGTAATTAAACATGGGTCTCTGTTGTCAAATAATCATGGCAGGTTTAAATACATATTTTACTGCCAATATACCTCTCTGGAAACAGCCCGTTTGGGTTCAACCACTCTCCCATCAACCTTGTGGGGGCGGGCAGTCATTGCAGCATCAACCTCATCAACAGAGGAGTATGTAACAAAGCCAAAGCCCCTGGACCTTTTGGAATTGGGGTCCCTCATGACCTAGAGAAAGCAACTTCAATTATTCCCAGTATTGCACAAAATATGCATGATTTCTAGTTACACAAAAACTAAGTAAATAATACCACGGAGTTAAAGAGAAACCTTACCACACAGTCTGTAAGGCTCCCCCATTGCTCAAAATGAGCCCTCAGGCTTTCATCTGTAGTCTCGAAGCTCAGACCTCCAATAAACAGCTTACGAAGCTGCTCTGGCTCGCGTGGTACCTACACAATAGACACCGATAATAGCATCATCGTACAATCACCTACAGTCAGAATGAGCATTGTGTGCAATTAAATGAACATACACAATATATCGCTCATAGGATTACCAATGGATTAATAGTTTGTTAATTCTGCGTCACGTTTTTTTTAAAAACCGGACAGGGTGGAGAAGGGGAGACGTCGCCGCCATTAGGGAAGGGCTTTGGTTATTTTGATTACTCTACCTCCGATTGCATGCATAAGAATACACATTTGTAAATGTAATGAGTTAGCTTTTTATACAATATTACTGAAGCCAAGGGTTTAGTGAGATTCCGGAAATTCAAACATAGATGCACGTAGGAACAAAGGCCACGAGGCCCAGCTGCTATAAAATGGCGGCTTTACAAAGCATAGCTGCAGTGGCTCTGACAAGACACGCATTCTGCGCTGAGAATAGCAATAGGCCTATCTAAACAAATACAAATATTTTACGTTTCAGCGTACAGTAAATGGTCTCCTTAGTATAATACTCACATCTTTCGACATTGTTGCAGCACGTGATACTTAAAGACTCCTTGTGGACGGGAGTGAGCTGAGCTGAGCTGCGTGAGATTCAGAAGAGTACAACAGTGTCCTGAAAGATAGAATAAATAGTAAAGGACACTCCTCTTCCACACACACACATTGGCCAGGACTTCCCGCTGCAGTCTGTCGTCACCATGTGTTGATTCTCGATTGGTCCAAATTACATCAATCACCAGCACGACGAATTAGATGACAGTAGGCGGTGCATTCCCCATCACGACGGACAAAATGGATGTTATATGCGTGCAGGAATATGTGAAAGTGACATGATAAGATATTGCATTTGTGCGTGATGTTGTGTAATAATTTACATACAGACAAGTGTGTGAACGAATAAGGGAATGCACAGAAAAGCAGCACATTTTAAATGATCTTCTCCAATCCTAAATAAATCTCAGATTTGTGGGTGGAGGTAGACTGTGTTTATCAGTGATTCCACGCAACCCCACTCTGCTTTTCACCTAGAAATGTCGTGTTTTCTAACCAGACACACAATGCACATGTTTTACAATAAATATTCTTTAAAAATAAATGTAGTTTTTATCCTGGTAGCATTATTTTTAGATGGACAAATATAGGTCATCATCAGCTGACCAAGGGGCGGGTACGTTCATTGTGCGCCTTTAACCCGCGCTTTTCTACGCACAGACAAGCACAGCCCCATTTATGCGATCCAGGCTACATGCTAAAGTAGCACCAGCGTTGGCCTCTCAGACGAAGCTACACAAAAAACACGATATCGCCAAATTAAACGGCTCAACACCACCAGTCTACACAGCCAAAGGTAAGAAGGTGTTTACACATCGAACTGCTGCATGCTGGTTCATGCATCGTTATGCATTTATGATTTTATATCAACCTAAGCTAGTGTTAGCTTGTTGAAGCGATAGCCTGTAGGCTAACATTACTGCATAAGCAAGCTTGCCTTTAATGCCCATTGGTTAGCCGAGGCTAGTCGTTGGCTAACACAACATAATATTTTAATTCCTATGTTTACATATTACAATTTATGGTAAATGTATCTAACATATTAAGCAATTGTACATTTACCAAGAGGTCATTAGCTAGCAAATTGGTTCAGTAAACATGCCCGTTGCAAATTGAAACGACAATGAAATGATGCCTTTCGTTGCTAACTAGCTAGTGCCTGCTTTGTGCTTTACGTTGAACAAACGGAATGTATCGGCTATGAAACCCATGTTCTCTTTAACTTTAGTTTCTTTGTCTTTTTCCTATACAGGGAGTTGCCACTGGCCTGCGACAGAGTAGCATTCAGCAACAAACTTTGCTATGGGCAAAAAGACTCGCGAAGACGACGACTCGTCCTCTGACGAGGAAGAGTATGTTGTTGAGAAGGTGCTGGACAGGAGGGTGGTGAAAGGCAGGGTTGAATTCTTCCTGAAGTGGAAAGGATATTCAGAGTAAGTATTTTTCCTGGCTGGTTGCTATCCAGTAACTTTACATCTTAAAAAACATTACACGTTACAGTTGTTGTGATATTTCTGGGAACCAATGGTGGAGGGATTCACCTAGAAACAAAATAGGTTAAGAGCCATTCACTGCCTCTCGAGTCAGATACACCATTCACAAACACTTTCTGTGCTCATTAATGCTCCCCTAAAGACTAATGCTATTGAAGATTATTTACAAAATTATTGAAATCTCAGATACATTTTTGTTATTGTTCATCTCTGATCAGGGCTGTAGATTAAGAGTTGTATTTGTACTGGTACTGACTTGCAGAACTGTGTTTGTTTTTTTTCCTCAGAAAGCACAACACCTGGGAGCCTGAGAAGAACCTGGGCTGCCCTGAGCTCATTTCAGAATTCATGAAGACCTACAAGAAAGGCAGCAGTGGTGGAAGCTCGTCATCCAGCACTTCGACAAACAAATCAGTCACAACATCCCCCTTGGGACGTTCCAAAGACTCCAGTAGCTCAAAGAAGAGAAGCTCTGATGACGATGAGGAGGGGGGAAGCAAGCCCAAAAAGACGAAGGAGGTATGTAATGTGGCGACTAATTGTTTGCATTAACACTGAAAGTTTGACATCTATGGAGTAGTATTCAGTTTCTAGAGAGATAATTTGCATGTGAGAAATTCGGACCATTTTCCGGCTTTGTCATTGATATGATGAAAACATAGCAGTGTATGCTGTACATTTTCACACAACTCTCTCTTAACACTACTTAGTTTAATTCCATAATTATCTAGTGGCTCGTTTACATTTTTAGTTTTCAAGTTATTTAAATTGGACCATTTAGCCTTGGTGTGGCCCTTCCCAAAATCGTAGTGGATATATCAGCTTGATACCATAGAGCATAAAGACACTTATCTGTTGATCCTATGGCTCAAACATGTTTTAATCAAATCATGAGCTAAAAATCAAGTCAAGGATTGAAAGAATTGTGGACTACAGTCTAATGAATGTAATGTACTCTAGCTTGTCATGTATTTTATAAAAACCTTTTACCTTCTGTGTTGTCTTTCAGGATGACATCCTTGTTGCCCGTGGCTTTGAGAGAGGACTCGAGCCAGAGAAGATTATTGGAGCAACTGACTCATGTGGAGACCTAATGTTTCTTATGAAGTGGTAGGTTTTTGTTATGTTCATTTCAAAAGGTACATGTGCAATGTAGTTTTGGCCCAGTGGTGTATGAAATGTTATAACTAAAACCAGCATTGTTATCAAGAAAAAGGTGTTATTACCAAGGACTTAAGATGACCATTGACTTAAAATGTTAATAGTTCAAATGATTTGTAAACAGACTTTGAGGAAAAAATAATTATGTTTATCTACTGTGTTCCCACACAAAGTAAAAGTGGTTGTCCTGGTCATAGTTTAATCTGAATGGAACGCAGTAGAGGAGGTTGTAACACGCATTTGCTTAGAGCAGGGCAATACCTGTCTAAAGTATCTTATACCGATACGTAAACGATACTGCTTCAAGAACCTGATTAATCAGAACAACAGCTTATAATGACTGTCAATGCAAGGAACGATGTGAAAAGAAGCAATAACAAACATTAGTGAAATATTTCACTATAATGTGACACAGTGCTGCTTATCAAACGTTAATGCTTTGCAGAGATGATGGTGAGCAGTACTGTCAGCTATTTGGTTGTGATGCCGCTTAACAAAAGGCTCTGATTAATGTTAAGTTCCCCTTGGTACGCATTGATTCATTGTATATGTCAGCTTTTATTGTGAAAGGTAGGAACAGCATGACGCTGTAATGTGCCACTGCAGCCGTTGACAATGTGAGATAAATCTTCGTTTACTGTCCTTACAGTATCGGTACTAATTAATGAACTCTTGCACAATTTTTAACGGCAGGTTATTGCGTTAGTATTGATAAATTCATCAAGACTCATGGTGGCTTGTGTGTTTTTACAGACTTGCGTTCTTTATGAAAGATGAGGGCTGATAGATGTGTACTGATTCTATCTGCATCATTGGCATCTGTTTCTTAGTATTCTGCCTGTTTGATATACCACACGGGGCATGATCGTAGGGGCTCTGAACATTAAAGATTGGTTTTAACAAATGAGCATGTTTTTGGGTGTTGACCCGGTTCTACAATCGGGGTTTCTGAAACAGTTTCTGTTTGTGACTTGTCATTACATGATCCTTTAAACTGCTGCTCTCAGTGTGCCAGATTCCTGCTGACAAATTACCCATTAGCGGCACTAATAGCCTAGCTGTCCATTGATATACAAATAGTAAGACACACCATAACATTTTATGTCATTGCATATAAGCTAGATGGATATATTTGTAGTGCCTCGTTACTCATGCCCGGTCACGCTAATTCCAAGGTGTTTGCTGATTCAAAAGGAGGCACAATTTACACTACATGGCATATTATTTTTAANTATATATATAAAAAAGTTCTAAAGCTCCATCTGTGATACTTGCTATAAAAAGTATGACTTGAAAAGTACTTTTTTAAAACAAGTTAATCAAATAATACATGGCACTACCACCTACAACCCAACCCCTCCTATTAAAGACATTTTACCAGAAGCCGATTTGTTTGACGGTATCAAAATAGAAAGGTATAGTTAAATACCCAAAATTAAAACAAAATCTGAGTTTTAAAACTACTGAAATGTTATTGCTGGTTTCATTAAAGCCATATACTCATGTCTCTTAAAATAAATGTTAAATCTTTCACAGGGATATTTTTATAATTTTTTTTTATTGAGTTGACACAGGAACATCTTCAGAAATGACAAAAAAAAAAAATGTATTTACAATATGGTACAGGCTTGCGTAAGAACATTTTGTATTAATATACACTTGATAAGCTCATAGAAAGGTTTGCCATATATTTAAGACAATGGGGTGTAACATCCAACTTTCCAACCAATTTCTTTTCTTGCAGGAAAGACTCTGATGAGGCGGATCTCGTGCTTGCCAAGGAAGCCAATCATAAGTGCCCACAGATCGTCATAGCCTTCTATGAGGAACGTCTCACCTGGCATGAAGACAGTGACAAGAAGGAGAAGGACGCGGTTAGCGCTTGAGTGCTCGTCTGAGGGGAAAACCGGACCTCCTCCACTGCAGGGACAACCTTGAGTCAGACATTTTTTCACACCCAAACCTCCCATCCTTGCTCTTCACCATGTCCAACAAGGACCGTGAACACAATCGTGTTATCTCCATCCATGCCCCATTGGAGCACAAAGGCCCCAGGCTGCTGAGAAGGATCCATCAGACGGGAGGGGAAGCTGTAGCGGACAAGGGTGACATGCTACTGGGGAGGGTTTCTGCTGTTATGTCTTTGTATTAAAACATTTTTTTATTGATTTTAACACATCATATTTTAGTACAGAATACGGTTGCCAGTAATGTATGTTGCATCCATGAGCACATGTGGTCATCCAATAAAACTCAGAACATAGTCATGAACCTGCTTTGGTACAAGCCGTGTTTACTATAAGCTTGTCCCATCAGCTAGTCCTTGTAGGTAGTGCATCTCTTTGCTTTAAGAACCCAGCAACACCACGGAGGATAAGCCGTTGTATCTTTATTCAGGAAGTGATCACCGCAGCGTTTTCCTGTCTTCATTATCACTTCCTTTTTTATCTCTTTTAGATTTATCGGTTTTTCCTGTCTACCAGGATAGAACTACTCAATTTGCAAACTTGCGGACATCGGCCAATTAGTTAAGTCAATGTATTGTAGTGATGATGTCCTTGTTTTTGTTTTTTTAACTGTCATTTCTATCTCTACATTTTAAGTTTTAACATGTGAATTTTGTGTGGTGTTTTTCTATTTCTTTACTCTATAAACAGTTTTAGAAAAAGGACAATAAAACACATTATTCTCAGTCTATACTTTTTTGTTTTTTTTTAACAGCAGTGTTATCTTTGGACCAGTCTCACGTTCACAGGTTAGAAAATCTTTACTGTATCCACAGAGAATGAAACCAGCATTTATCACCAGTCATTGGGGTCTGCCACCTTGTGGCTAAAAGATGACAATCTTTTGGACTGACCATTCTCTATAATGTTGACCCTGGCGTTTTAATGGCGTTCTTGAGCTATTTAGTGATACTTTGATAGATTATGTTAACAGTGCAAGTGGAAACATTCACACCGCAGTTGAGTTATTGTTATTCATATCATTGTAAGGTTAATTTGAAACACTTAAACCACTTTCTGATTGGATTATGCATACCCTGGGTTTTGTTGTTATGAGTAATTTGATCATTCTCTCATCATACAGGGTTTGTTTTCAGATAGATTTAGCTTCCAGGGAGCTTATGTCAATTCTTGTACACAAGATTGATGTTGGTTTTGTAGTTTGCTGTGCTCCAACATGGACTCTTAGGGCCAAATGTTTAGTGGCCACAGACAGATCTCTTTCTTTAATGAGCATTGTTAAGAGAGCTGTTACCATTTCCCCTTTCATACAGTACATTAATCATGTCTCTTGATATGAACATTATGGTTTTGTTGTAATTTCCTTTATATTAAAAAATATGTTGTCCTTTCACACCCTTGCCTTGAGCTTTGTCCTGAGTTTTTGCCGGTGCAGACATTTTCAAAAGAAGCTTATTTCTTGAGTCAATTATATGTTCTGAATATGTGTACAGTATACAGTAGTACCCTTTAATATACATTTTCAATGGTAAAGTTTCTGTCCGTTTACTTTTCTTTTAGGATTTGATTGGAAGTGGTGCAGAGAGATTGAGTAACTTTCATTGATAAAACTACACTAAGCCTTAGCTCTGCATCCGTTGCTGATAACAGACGGTAAAAATAACCATATGACATATAAGTTAAAGGTCACATTTGTAAGACTAAAGCTGTTTAAGGTGGTAGTGGTACTACTGCTGCAGTGAGACTAACATTTGAACTTGTTTTTTAGAGGAAAATGTTTCTGGAGCATCAGCTGCTATCAGCCAGCAGATGGTGCCACTGATCAACACCAACGTAAGTCACAACTCCATTTTCATGCAAGTCATTCACAGTTCAAAAACTTGAGCCCTACTCATTAGTAATTTTTTTCTCAACAGCTATTTTAAAAGTATTAATCTTTATGAGGGGTATGGCTTCATGTTGTGTTTACTGGCTAAAATCATAGCTTTCTTCATGTCGTCAGTTGAGTCACCATGGTTCCTCTTAACATCTGCTGAACCCACCTGGTTCACAAACACATGTTGTGCAGTGAAGCATGCAGTGTTCAAACTCACATTTATTTAAGATTCAATATTTTTTTCCCCTTTTTTGTTCATTTTCTTTCATAATCAGTAACAGATGTTCTAAATAGAAGTGAGGGGAGAGAGAGCGACATAAATTGAGAATGACATGCAGTAAGGGTCCCAGGCCGGATGTGAACAAAAAACATTATGGTTCATGCATGGTGGCGCCTTAAAGCCCCAGGACATAGGCACCCACTTCCGATTGATGTAATGATGCAGCTGTAAAAAACGTTGAAGCACGTCATAGGTTAAAACTTAAAAAACGCACAGAATGTAATACTGCATGCATATGTGAGGAAAAGGTTTTTGTCCACTGGAAAGTGACACAGCATATATAACAAAGGGGGGAGAAAAAGCACTAATGGTGGACTTAAAAATATAAGGACTAGATCCCACTTTGTCACATTCATGACAAAAACAGGAAATTAGTTGGTCTGTTAGTTAGGCCCTTTAATGGGGATCCGCTGCAAAATCGGTAATAAACTGCAGTTAAGGTTGAGTCTAATCCTTGTTCTTCTCTCAACACCCTCTTTTTCATCTTGCTGCCTTTTATAGTGACTCTCTCTCTTTCTTACGGACACACACACATGCACACAAAGTGCTGCTCAGCTACGTCTGAAGTGATGGAATTTTCCTAGCAAAAAGGCTTTTACACTCCAAATGGAATGCAAAGGTCACTAGTAAATTTCCAGCCCCTGGGACCATTAAGCTGGGCAAAGGGAGCGAGCAGCAGGCTGTTTTATGGAGCCTGGAGCTGTCTGCTGACAAACCCAAGCCAGTAGGTTTCTGTTGGGAAAGCCGCAGTGGCACTCGTGGGAGCTCTGCCTGTGACATGTGTGGCAAATAGAGGCAGTTTTTGTACGTGGTCAATGGGTGTGCACTGTGCAGAGTGAAACTACCGGAGCAAAAAATCAAAACAAGGAAAATCTGATTCAAGCCTCGAGCTAGAAATGAATATATGCAGTGTATTTGGGATGAATGCTAAAGATGCTTTGTTTATCTAAAGAAAGTTTTTCAGGATGCATGTGGGTTTTAGGCATTTTGGTGAATCATTATTTGATTACAATATATACCTATAAAATGTACACATTTGAGTTTAACTTGCAGTATATTATTTTTAATGGAAACTAAAATACTTTTTTTGGTTGGGTGTGTCTTGCAAAGTATTATCTGTGTCTCAATGGGAGTTAAAATGCAGTTACATTTTTGGTGCAAATTTATTTATTTATGCAGCAGCCTCCCCTGCACTTCAAACACAGTCCCTTACCAGTAACTCCTAGTCCAAATGAGTTCCTCTGGGTATTGCCCACAGCAGAGGTGGGTCGTCTTGCAGCACATAACACCAACATGGGTGTCAGGGGAGCAGTGGTGAGGAAAAGGACTACTGCAGTGGGCCTCATCAGTGTTACACAGCTTGTTCAATGATACCACTAAAACAGCAAACAAATAAATGTGCACCCACACAGATAACACACATGTGCAGCAGAAAGTACTATTCTCTTCTATATGGAAGAAAAAAAAGATTTGTGGTCTTCAGTTAGTGCCCAAGAGGAACTGTGAAAAATGTCTCTTAAAGTGTTGTAAGTCACGAGTATCACAGAGGCCGATGTAATTTCATGTGGCCTTTCCTCATGCTGTGATCATGCAGGCGCAGCTGCCCAACATGTGTGTCTCCATTTTCTTGTTGCAACCAGATCAAAAAAAGTCTGCAGTGATGACTGCTGCATCATTTCTCTGCACAGTGCACTGATCTGTGTGAAGGTGATTGCGGTGTGATGCTCTAATTTGGGTGGCTATCACACTTAATGTGCAGTAAAGCCCCATAGACAAAGCTTCTTCGTTCTAAATGCCCCCTCCACTGCGCCACTGCTCTCCCCGCCAACCCTCTGCTGGCTGTGTTTCCCCTTCACCCCCCACTCCTCCCTTCATCTCCTCTCCCCACCAGGGGAAAGAGTTATAGCTGCCATAAAAGGCAGGTAATGCATTGTTAACTAATTCTGTCTGCTCAGAGCTGATATATCCTCTGCTCTAAATCTCTGTGCTTCCAATAAAATGCAAATGCTAATGCTTGCCCTCCATGAGCTGATATCATTTTTAACAGTCCATAGGTAAATGCTAGAGGAGGGTGGTGTGGGCAAGAGGTATTCAGTGGCACCGCGAGGCTCTGAGCCTTCATTGTATATTCTGGTGGAAAGGGGACCTCCAGACCTAATCCACACACCCCTGGCCCATAGTATGCATGCGTGTCAGTTTGCACATGAGACCTCAGCGTAACATTTGTGTTAATCTTGGGTTGAATGGGAGTGGTTAACTTGAGATAAAGCAATTGTGTATCTTTGTTATTGAAAACCAGCACTGAAGCATTTCAGTCAGCAGTCATTCAACATCAAATAATACCAATATGCCTCTGGATGTAATGCATCACATTTCCATGTTAATAGTATTGTCATACTCCGTGTAACCTTGGGCTTCTAAATATTGATCCACTTCTAGATTTTCAATTATCCTGTGCCGTTTTTATGCCATCTGGTAAGGACCAGTGATTTATGTCCCTTCATATCTGGAGGCTTGTCCTGTAATTAGACCATAAATTAATTTGCAGAGAGGAGAGTGAGCAGAAAAGATTCAAGGCATTAAGTAAGTCCTCCGTGGTTGGAGACAGAAAATCATAGGAAACCACCGCACAATGTTTTATTCACTAGAATAAGATAATTGGATTACAAATTCCAACACCATAACTTTGCTGTCCCTGCATGTGTCACTTGTTTTTCTTGCAAGTATTTAAAACCATGCTGCTGCTAATGATTGCTTGTAAGTCAGTTCTTCAATAAATGGCTAGAAATCATCCTCTGACATAATTATACCTAATCACTTGCAGTGCAGCAGCAAAATGATTAGGAGAAATGAGCCATATTAGTGTCAATATGTGTGTGAAACTTTGCAGTGAAATGTGCTCTTAATCCATCAGTGGATGGGAAATGACCCCCCGTGCAGGCAGACAACCATTGTGCAATCCGAAGCTAGCTCTTATTTACAGCACAGCTCAAGTGGAGGTCCTAAAAATCCAAATGCATCTAGATTGATTTTAAATTGGGAGTATATGCTCTCCTGCAAGATTAGCTCATTGTCCCCCGCTGCTAAATTACAAATAGTGATTGTGGCTGTCGCTGCACAGTGTCTTAGCAATTCAACTGCTGCTCTCTTTGCCATGTGGAAATGCGCATTAGACAAGCTTAAGTTACTCATTAAAGCAATTGAGATAAAACTGATATAACAGAAGGGGCTATACTTGGTGGGAAATGCTAAATCAGCTGGATCTGAGTTTAAAACACTGTATACAGACTAAAAATGTTATAAAGTGAATGAGGGTGCATTTACAGTAAGACTAGCGCAGTAGTCTGACAAGGGAAACTGCACTGGTGTACCTGCTTTACATGATACCTTGGGTGTTATTTAGGCAAGGCCACAGCTGCCATCATATAGCTATATAGCATAAAGCTGATCATATCTTGTGGGGCTTGAGAGGCAAGGTCAGCCAATGCAAAGCCCACCTGCTCCCCCATTCTCCATCACACAGTCCCTCAGCCATGGCCTCCCGGAGGAAACACCCCTGCCTGCTGCAATGCTA